GAGGAAATGCTGGAAATAACAAATCTCAAAAGATTGAAAATACTCTAGATAAGAACAAAGCATATTTTCACAGAACTAGAACAGACAAGGCGACTACTAAGTACTGAGAAGAGGAGTTATATAAAACAGCAAATACGAGAAATGGACATAAGTGGCGAGAAGAATCAGGTAAGGAAATTCTTTACGGAAGTGAACACAGTCAGACAAGGTAACACTGTTGGGGTAACACAAGCTATGAGAAATGAAGCTGGTGAATTAATAATGATAGAAACAGAAATCGTCGATAAAACGATAAAAGAAATACTTTCGGAATTTATTAAGTATTGAAAGTGAGATGAAAAAAACAATATTACATTCCATTCTGCAGATGTGGAAATACTAGCACCAACACTTCAAGAAGTAAAGAATGCGATAGCATCTCTTAACGATTAGCGTTAACATTTCCTGGCTCTTAACAAGCGCCAGGAAATGATGGTATAAATAGAGAATTAATAAAAAAAAAGGAGAAAACGTGTAACATAAAAAATTGTATGACATTATTCCAAGAGCATTGCAACAACAGAAAATACCTAAGGAATGGAATGGAATGGACGCGGTATAATACCCATATATAAGAAAGGATATTCTAGGTGACTACCAATGCGACTTTCGTGCTGGAAAGTCAACAGTAGATCAAATATTGTTGATCCGACAAATATTAGAAAAATCTGGAAATTCAATCGAGATGTACACCAAATTTTTGTAGAGTTTCAGCAATTATATGGCTCGATAAAAAGAAGCAGTTTATAGCTAGCAATGCTAGAAATGGAAATACTAAGAAAATTAGTGAAGCTAACTCAAATGTGCGTGACAAACTCATATGTACAGGTAAAGATAGGAAACAGAACATCAATGCCAGAGCTGACAGGGGGACTTGCGACTCGACAATCAAAACTATTGAAACTATTGAACTGATAATTTAGATGCAGTCGCTCATTTTACAAAAGACGTAAGAGAGGTATTTTCACAACTCGATGAAAAAACAATTATTCTGGGTTTTCTTATAAATGAAGAGATAACGAAGTATATGCTAGTAACCAAAAATTTACGACCTAGAGTTAGGCAGAACATGACTATAAATGACTGCAACTTCGAAGTAGTAAAGAGTCGAAATATCTGAAAACGGTAATCACAGATGACAACTACATAGAAAAAGAAGTCTTAGTGAGGATAGCTGCGGGGAATAGAGCATTATACTTCCTAACATCATTAATAAGATCTAAGCTGCAAACAAGAAAATCTAAGTTAGTCTAACTCTTCTTCTTCTTCAGGTGCCATCTCCGCTACGGAGGTTGGCAATCATCATAGCTATCTTAATTTTTGAGGCAGTAGCTCTAAATAGTTGTTTTGAGCTGCATCCAAACCATTCTCTCAGGTTCTTCAGCCATGAAATTAGTCTTCTTCCGATGCTTCTTCTGCCATCTATTTTTCCTTGCATTATGAGTCGCAGGATGCCATACTTATCGCCCCGCATCACATGTCCGAGATACTGTAGCTTTCTTTCTTTAATTGTAAGTTCAATTTCCTTCTCTTTGCCTATTCTTCTCAGTATTTCATTGTTTGTAACTCTATCTACCCAGGAAACCCTCATAATTCTTCTATAGGTCCACATCTCAAAGGCGTTAAGTCGTCTCATGGTATCTAGATTTAACGTCCATGATTCCACTCCATAATATAGTACACTGTATACGTAACATTTTGTTAGGCGTACTTTAAGAGCTAATGTTAGATCTTTGCCACATAGGACCTTTTTCATTTTTATAAAATTAGAACGTGCTTTTTCGATTCTGACTTTGATTTCTGCCGTGTAGTCATTATTTTCTGTTATAAGTGTTCCTAGGTAAGTGTACTTTTTTACTCTTTCGATCTGCTGGCCCTCTACTATCAAGATTTCGTTAGCATTATAGTTGTTTTTACAAATTTTCATAAACTTCGTCTTTTTGACATTAAGAGAGAGTCCGTACTCCCTACTACATATGACTATTTTGTTCATGAGTCTTTCCAGGTCTTGTAAACTATCGGCTATTATTACTGTATCATCTGCATATCTGATGTTGTTAATTAAGACTCCATTTACTCTTATGCCGACGGTTTCATCTTCCAGAGTTTCTCGAATTACCTCTTCAGAATAGGCGTTAAATAATAGAGGTGATAGAATGCAGCCTTGCCTGACTCCTCTCTTTATTTCCATTTCTTCAGATGTTTCTTTCTCGATTCTTACTATTGCTCGCTGATTGTAATAGAGCTGTGTTATTAGCCTTAAATCTCTTTCATCTAGGTTTTTATTTTTTAGAATTTCCAGGAGTCGATCATGTTTTACTTTGTAAAACATGATCGCAGTCTAACTCTGCAAGTCAATTATTCGTCCAGTTGTTACATATGGAGTGAAACATGGACTCTATATTAGCGGAAAATAAATAAGCTGCTGGTATTTGAAAGAAAGGTTTTTAACTGATCTCATTGGACGTTGCAAAGATAAATTAACAGAAAACTGGAGAAGAAGCTGCAATTTTCAAATGGTGACTGTATGGTACTGAAAACATATTCAGACATATAAAAGTTAACCGGCTAAGATGAGCAGGTCATGTGGTAAGATCAGAGGAAGGCAGAGTGCTAAAGACAGTATTTTTGGAAGATTAGACGGTAGGATCTCAGTAAGCAATCACAGAACAAAAAAATAGAAAATGAAAGCGCAAGATCGTAGAGGATGAAGGGCTATAATGTATGCGATGAAGACTTGCCCTGAGTTTTAAATCCAGTCAAGAAGAAGAAAAATATATAGGATGTTCCATTTATATTAAATAAGCTGACGGTACCTCCGGTAAAACCGGAAGGAACATGGTAATACAAAATATGGCACCAGATGTGTTATATGTCATTCTACTTGCATGAAAAGTTTTATGAATATCGTCTTTTTTGCTTTAAATTTATTTACTTGGTTCCATACTTTATCTCAACTCTGTAGATATAATTTCATCTACAGTTTAAAAAGTATGGAGGGAATGGCTGGACAAGAAAGGTTGCATCATAAAATAACACAAGTAGAGAACATCCCATTGATAACTCATACTACTACAACTACTACTACTCATTATAAGATCCTTTTGCAAATAATGTAGAATATGTTATAAAAAGATATCATCCAAATAGGTGTTCCCAATAGGGGAGTATATTATGCGAAGAGCACTTGAAGGATGGGAAAAGGGCATCTCAATAAATGGTCATAAACTAAACAACCTACGTTTCGCAGATGACACAGCCTTTCTTGCAAATAGTCAAGCAGAGCTGATAGAACTTATACGACTGATCGAAAACGAAAGTCAAATATTTGGTCTGCAATTAAACATATTAAAGACAAAGATCATGATAGTGGATAGACTACACAACAACCATCCACACATAACCACAATTGATCGGTTCGAGGTTGTGAGCTCATACTTATATCTGGATCATTAATCACAAACACAGGGTCATTACAAGAAGAGATTAAACGTAGATGTGATCTAGCAAAAGTTGCCACAGCAAAAATGACCAAAATATGGAAGGACTGTCAAATTTCAAGAGCGATAAAGATGAGGTTGATCAACTGCTTAATATTCCCAATACTGACCTACGGATGTGAATCTTGGACTCTGAGACAATCGGAGAAAAGAAAGATAGACGCCACTGAAATGTTCTGTTGGAGACGAATGTTACGAATTCCTTGGACCGACCGTATAGAACAAATTACATTCATCTCCAACAATTAAAATATTTTGGGCATGTTATGAGAGCAAACACAGAAAACATGGAAAGACTCATAATACAAGGAAAGGTAGAAGGCCGAAGATCACGAGGAAGATCCCCAACAAGATGGATAGATCAAATTACAGGAATATGCCAAAGACCTATGCATGAATTAAAAGAAATGACCAGAGACAGAGATCTCTGGAGACGGACAATACACGACATCACGTCGACCACTACACTCCCCCTGGGGGTCAGGATTGAAGAGAGAGAGAGGTGTTCCCAGGCAAAACAGTTTTATAAAGGAAAGGGGAACACGAGAATAAATTCTAAATCTATTACAACTGAAAGAAAAGATAAGAAAACGATAATATCTAACAATCAATAAAATCTGATCTGGCCAATTATGAGTAACAAGAAATTCCGAAGCATCTAATCAAATTGATTTTCACAGTATATATGAGCACAAAGAAGTAATCATGGGATTACAAAATATTTATCTATTTTTCACGTTGTACTGTTGTATAAGGTACTCATATTAAGAATAATGTCATCTTAATATGAGTACCCAAAGTAATCAAAATATTTCCGGATATGAAGTGGCCGATATTTTTTATATTTGGATTATAAAAAAAATCATTACTTAAGAGAACTGTGAATAAGAAATTGAACGCCATTTCCAGATGGAAGGAATAACCTCATTAGAATAGCGAAAAACACCTCTGAAACTTGGACCACAAGAACAATGACGCGTTAGAGATGCGGTATTATATAAAAGAGTTTCTAATATTTTGATAGGCAAAATGATAATTTAAAAGGATACTCCGTAGAAGGGAAATAGAAATAGTTGATGTCACCAATAGTATGAACTGACACAGTGGAAAACCTACTCCAAACGAAGAATTCGAATCTTAGAAATACCTCTGAATTTATAACCACTATAATCACAATACATACGATAATATGTACAGAATATAAGACAACGTTTCCATATAAAAAATGAAGTTGATCGACCATACAATAATATTAAATAAACAACAATTCTATACATTGTTGCTAAAATGTTGCAATGAACAATTGCACTAAGATAAACAAAAATTAACAAAAAAACTTTACCTTGTTGTTTTAAAAAAAAACATGTTTTTTTTTATATACATATCTTCCTATTAATACGACAGATAAAAATCGTATGCCAATGCAATATGTAACAGAGTTTAAAATAAATACTGACTTACCTCGCATATATTTAACATTGCCTTCAACGACGTCAAGTGTGACTTGCGATTCTCTCTGAAATAAAATATTATCATATAAATTATAAAAAATTTAAATCATTTAAACAAATAATAATCAATAATATTTAACAGATGTAATTTTATACAATGTAAATCAGTTGCAGTTATTATTAGTACCGAATCCATACTTATTTTAATCTATGAATCCTATGCAGGAAAAAAATATATTATATATATATATATATATATATATATATATATATATATATATATATAGTAAACTATTAAATATTTAGGAAATCTGCAAGAAAGACTCTAATGAGTATCAATTGTTTCGCCGAACGTTTTCGCCAAAGAGAATTAATTTGGCTCCTTAATTTTTAATTAATTCTTAATTAATTTCGGTTTTTGATACCAATCTATTTTATTTAATTGTATTTATGTATTTATTTATTGTTGTTGTTTTCCCTGATCATCCTTATGTCGAGAAAGGGACGGACCAATTACCATCTTCCCTCTCTATAGTGAACTGGATGTAGGGGTCATAACTATTGAAAGTATCTAATAGTTCATCTACCTTGTCATTTGGTATAGCCAAGATGATATCATCAACATATTTTTTAATAAATGGAATTTGAAAGGAATATTAAATATGAAAAGAAATCTGACACTAACAACTGAACGAATTGGAATGCCCTCCTTATATATCTTAGGTAAAATTTTGATCCATCCTATCAAAATTTATATTGAATATTATTAACTTATCTTTATTATCTTTATCTTTATTATTATTTCCATTTCAACTTTAATGATTTTTGCAGCACATCGGTGACTTTGGTTTTCTGTCTTATCCATGTGTTTGTTTTCTTGTCCTTAAGTGATATACCTAGCATTGCTCTTTCCATCGCGTGTTGAGTGACTCTAATTATATTCATATTCTTTTTTGTGATTGTCCATGTTTGTGCCGCATAAGTTAATATCGGAATAATGCATGCATCAAAAACTTTAGATCTAAGATGTAATTGAATTTGTTGATTTCTGAGTATATAGTTCAGTTTACCGAATGCTGCCCAAGCTAACTTTCTTCTTCTTTTTATTTCTTCAGTTTGAATTTCCCTATTTAGTATTATTTTTTGTCCTAAGTATATATATATTCTTAACTTTTTCTATAACTTTATCGTTTATTATTGTCACGGTGTCTTCGGAGTGCATGACTTTTGTTTTGTTTAAATTCATTTTCAGTCCTATTTTAGAAGATTCGGTATGTAGTTCTAAAAGCATGGTTTGCATTTCTTGTAGGTCAGTAGCTATCAGGATTATGTCATCTGCAAATCGTAGATTACTGAGGTAGCGGCCATTGATGTTTATTCCCTTATATTTCCAATTTAGGTTTTTAAAAACGTCCTCCAAAACTAAGGTGAACAGTTTGGGTGATAAAGTATCTCCCTGTTTGACTCCCCTGTTTAATGGTACAGGGTTCGTGTGTTCATTTTCATTTAGGTAGTATGTAGCTGTAGCTTGCTTTATAGTTTCTTTTATTAAGTTAGTATATCTGCTGTCTATTCTACAATTTTGCATTGCGTTTATTACGGCCGTGTGTTCTATGGTATCGAAAGCTTTTTCGTAGTCTACAAATGCTAGGAAAACTGGAAACTTGTATTCGTTATATTTTTCTATTAATATTTTTGTGATTGGACATAAAGATCTACGAATAATTACAAATCTATACTGGCATCAAGTGGCAAGAATAAAGGTTGAACAAGAACTGTCGGATGAAATAAATATAAAAAGAGAGTGAGACAAGCTGTATATTGTCGCCTTTACTTTTTAACTTGTATTCGGAGGAAATATTTAAGGAAGCCTTAAATAGCAAACAAAATTATATACATGATGACGGTATAAAAGTCGGAGATGCCACACTGGACAGAGTAGAGAAACTCGTGTATCTCGGCAGTAATATCAATGAGAGCTGGGATCCAACCGCAGAAATTAAAAGCCGAATAGAACAAGCCCGAGCTGCCTTTGTAAAAATGAGAAACGTACTTTGCAGTCATGATCTTAGCATTGACCTTAGAGTTCGTATGATATCTTGCTACATCTTTCCTGTCCTGCTGTATGGAGTAGAAGCGTGGACCCTAACTGAGGCTATGCTTAAACGCTTGACAGCCTTTGAGATGTGGGTATACAGACGACTACTGAAAATAAGCTGGGTCGACAGAGTTAGAAATGAGGAGGTCCTTAGACGGCTGAACCAAACAACACAACTGGTCAATATAATAAAGAAACGCAAGCTGGAATACTTCGGTCATATTATGAGACACCCTGAAAAATATGATCTTTTACATCTGATCATTCAGGGAAAGATCCAAGGTAATCGTGGTCCTGGTAGAAGAAGAACATCATGGCTGAAAAATCTAAGGCAATGGTATGGAAAATCAACTACATCGTTATTTAGAGCTGCTGTCAATAAAGTCACGATAGCGAATATGGTAGCCAACATGATATCCAACGATCGATAACGGTCATGGAACTAGAAGAAGAAGAAATATTTTTGTGGTTAACAGGTCATCGGAAGTTGAATAGCCTTTTCTAAAACTTGTCTGTTCATATGGTTGGTATTCGTCTAATTTCCTTGTTAGTCGAGTAGTTATGACTTTGGTGAGTATTTTAAACAGGTGTGACAGTAGGCTGATGGGTCTGTAGTTTTCCAATTTTCGACTATCACCTTTCTTGTGTAATAAGATTACTTTAGAGTTGTTCCAGCTCTTAGGGACTTTGCCCTGATGTAAACAACTGTCCACAAGCTTAGTTACAATTGCAATTAGTTCCTTACCTCCTTCTAATATCATATCTGTGGTAATACTATCTTCTCCTGCAGCTTTATTTCTCTTCATGTTTTCCAATGCTGTAATTACCTCTGAAATTGTTACTTTTGCATTATTTCTGATCCAACATTTTTTATTAATTTCCGTGCTGGTCTCATCTCATCATCTTGTTGATGTGTTCTGTAAAGTTCTGTGTAAAATTCTTCTATTCGTGTCAGTATGTTTTCTCTAGTTGTGATTTCATTTTCGTCTTTTCCCATTAATTATATCATCTGACGTCGTCCTAGTGTCGGTCTGAGGCATTTCATACTCTTATTTTTTTTCAATAGTTGTTGTTATTAATTTTTCGTTTTCTTTCCTTTTTTGTTGTCTGATTCCTTTTCTAATCTGCCTATTAAGTTCTCTATATTCTTCGGTTCCGCTTTTGTTAGATTTATTTAAGATCTTCCTTTTTTTTATTTGTTGTAATATTTCTTTGTCTAATTCATTGTATGTTGTTTTTGGTTTTTTTCAGTTGCAGAAGGCTTTTATTCACTGTTTCGGTAATATAAGGTTATTCAAATCATCAATATCATTGGAGTTTATCTACTGTATGCTAACTTCTTCAGATGTCCATTTGTATCTTTTTTCATGTATTCTTTTTCTTTTTAGTTTTTTGTTAATTATTAGTTTTGTTCTTATTAGTCTATGATCGCTTCCTAGGTCAAACTGATTTAATACTGATACTTCTTCTACTAGGTTTATATTCTTCGTTAAGATATAATCTATTTCATTCTTTGTCTTTTTATCGAGGCTCATCCATGTCTATTTTCTGCTTGGTTTTTTATTGAAAAAGGAGTTCATTGAGTACATGTTATGCTCATTCATGAAATTGAGAAGCATTTCTCCTCTATCATAGTTACCAATTAAATGTTCAAAATCTTCCACTTTTTTGCCCAATTTAACATTAAAATCTCCTAATAGTATTTCGTAATTTGCTTTATTTGTTTCTATAGCTGTTCTTATTTCATCATAAAATATTTCTACTTCTTCACCGTCGTGGCTTTTGGTCGGAGCGTACACTTGGATCACTTTCAGAGTGGTTCTTTTATGAATCCTGATGATGAGATATGCTACTCTGTCTGATATGGGCTTGAATTCCTCGATACACTGTGTGAGTCTTTGCTTTACCAAGAATATCCCATATACCAAGGATATCCCATTTTATATCCTTTTGTTCACTTTCTATTTCTGGGAATCTATTGTCGTCCGTCAGTATTCGAATATTTTAGGAGCATAGCCAAATTGTCATCTTGTGACAGGATCTGGGTTGGTGGGTAGGATTTAGGGATTAGAATCCGTTTCTCTCCCGGAAGAGAATTGGGAGAAAAAGCCGAGGTCGCGTGGGCAGGGGCGCATACCTGAAGCAGACCTGTCTTTACCGGATCGTAAAGAGTGTCTACCTGCTGTAGTGTAAGTCAAACTATAAAAAATAATTTAATATTCTCAGACAAATAGCAGTCAATAATGGATATGATCATAACATCATCCATAAACTCATCCATAGAAAACGCCTTAAAATCCTGCAGGAGACTGAGTTTCCCAGAGACCTTACCACTAAACCCAATTACGTTTCACGAGATATTCGAAATTTCAATAAACGTTCGGTTGAAAACCTCCACGTTTCTTTTAAAGTACCCAATAATTTGGGTCAGTGTATATCTAATTCCAAAGACCCATCAATTATATGAACCGTAGAGATGTTTATAGACTAAAATGTTCAGATTGTTATGTCACCTACATAGGAAGAAGATGTAGATCATTGTCTTCACGCTCTCTAGAGCACACAAAAAGAGAAAACACTTCCACCTTCTCTCAATATCTTAAAGAACATAACCACACCCTCAATATCCCAGAAGACGTATCACTTAATCGCAATATCCCCCAAAAAAACTTTCTCAAACTGGACTTATATGAAGATCTTGTAATTATTAAAGAAAACCAGTGGAGTCCAAATTGTGTTAATCGCCATATCTCATTTAATCGAGACTTCCTGCCACTCCATACTGATGGTGGAATATAGATTCCGAAAACGTTTTGTGATGTATCCTGATTGGGTGTTTTAATTATATACCTTTTATAAAGAATTTTTAAATAAATTTTTTTGTGATACATGGTATACATCCAGCTACAGGAACTAAGTTTCCTTGTGGATACTGAGAAAATACCCAAATCCATATAGGTATATATT